AATATGGGCCGTGAACAAGCCTGAGTCAACAACCAATCACAGCAAAGTTAACGTGGCAAAATATGATTCGCAGAGAGAACTCTATTTGTCAAGGAATCCCGAAACAACCAATCAGAAGCCTGCGTTTGTCTACCTAAACAACCAATCAGATGACTGCGCTTGTCTATAATAATGTTGTTGAAATATGTATAAATACGTGTTGATTTTCATAATAAAACGATCTGTTGCCTGGCCCTTGTCTTCTGTTGTTACATTTGGTGTCGCTGCCTACCGAAAATGAAAATCCTATACCCTGCAGTTTTTGATGGAGACATATGGATCTTCGGGCAGGACTTCAAGGCTTCTGCGCAGTTGAGTGGCGTTCAAGATCTGTCAGCGATGGAGCTGCTACTTGAGACGCTGCTGGGAGGTCGGGCGAAAGCAGCATATGAAGGTGTGGGCCGAAGTATGGACGAATGTTCGACAGGGTCAGGCAAACAGTTTCCAAAGTGGGAAGGACCATATATGGTCACTTCGAGATGGGGTTACGCAGACACAGTCGCAATGGCGAACAATAAGAGGCGCGTGAACGTCAGCGAGCTCCAGAAACAGATACAGCGAGACAAGCCAACGAGGACGCCTGCACCAAGTAGATCAAGCCGACTTCAGTCGCACGTATTTGACGGGGGGACGAGTGTGGTGAGAGCAGGCTGCTAGCCGATTGGTTGGCACTAATCTACGTTAAGGTCTAGGTCACTAATATGGGCCGTGAACAAGCCTGAGTCAACAACCAATCACAGCAAAGTTAACGTGGCAAAATATGATTCGCAGAGAGAACTCTATTTGTCAAGGAATCCCGAAACAACCAATCAGAAGCCTGCGTTTGTCTACCTAAACAACCAATCAGATGACTGCGCTTGTCTATAATAATGTTGTTGAAATATGTATAAATACGTGTTGATTTTCATAATAAAACGATCTGTTGCCTGGCCCTTGTCTTCTGTTGTTACACTAGTAGCGGTGACGCATGCGAGCCTCAGTCGTTTACACTCTTTCTCCCCAGCGTGTCGGACCGCAGCTAACAATTATCTCCGTATGCATTTCATTCTCAGCAATAGCCTAGCCTCCCCGGCGTATACGACCCATCTGCTGTCCTTAACATCAATCAATTCATTCACGGATGTAGAAGACTCGAAACAACTTCAGAAGTAATCACGACGAAAATTTTAACAAAATTGTGCAATAACAACAAGGTACGAAAACAACGAGTAAACACAATGAATCCAAAAAACACCAATTGATAAGGCACACCACACATATATACAAACAGTACACACAAACTCGCTGATGATATCTTGATGGAATTCCTTTGAAGAATCTCAGGACTTACACCTGTAGGCCTGCAATCCTTCACAGGTTGACGATTGTAAGTTGTGGAATGTCCGGACACAAACAAGATTAACCAACAATTACAATAATTGGAACTCACACAATTACTTAACACAAACATATGTACAATCACTACATCAAATGTTGTGGATTCTGGCACGACAAACTACCCTTGATGAACTGTAGGACTTACAGCAGTACGCCTACATTCCTTCTCAGGTTTATGATACAAGTGGAAGTCGTCCGGACACAAACGGAATCACCAACAGATAGATGACAGATAATATCAATTCAGTATATACAATATGAACATATGTACAAAATCACACACCGAGCACATTGGACTGCTCATTGATGCGCTGCCCTTTGAAGAATTGTAGGACTTACAGCAGTACACCTACAACCCTTCTCAGGTTGACGCCCTAGGTTGGAAAATCGTTGCAGAGTTCATTTGCTGATTTCCTTCTATCATCTATATCCTCAAATCTGAACGGTAACACGCCCATGTCATTGTATCGTGGAATATAGATGACGAACAAACACACGGCGTATCTGGTCAACCAAGCGTAGACGCAGAGTAATTTACACCAAAGATAATAGCATTCAAATAGTAACTTGAAACCAGAAACGCCTTTATTCATGCAAGTCAATTTAACAATTACTCTCTCGTTTACACTGGGCTTATCCTCACTAAACTGAGCAATATCTTTCGTCTTTTCAAACGCACCAATACTATCATAGTCATTGCACAAGATACTTGAGTTGATGGGCGTCTGTTTCATTGTGGATGACAACACCAACGACGACTGATTGATACCAGTTGATGAAGTTAGCGGTGGATCAGAAGCTGTTGTTGCTCGGCTTCCAGATAATTGTCTACCTGCAAGACCACCACCACTGCTGTCTTTTACTATCCGCTCAGGTTTAGCACCAGCATCTGATGATAGGTGGGCTACATGCTGATCACTCACACTGACGGTCTCACGAGTATCCATAACTTCTGGAACTGCATCTGCATTCAACCCTACTTCACGTTGTAGTTGTACAGAACCTTTATTCAACTTAGCAGTAGTAGGCATTCCCCTCATTTCATCATGATCAACCAAAGACAAATGTGAAGTATCATGATCACTATCATGAATATTCACTTTACCATCAAGTTCATCATTTTCAAACTCTTTGTTGACAGCAGTAGACAATTTTGGTTCCTCCTCACAAATCATTAAAGGTTTTATATCTTCACTCTGACTAGTTATACTTTGTAAACTTTTGGAGTCAGAACTGCACTCTGAAGCAGTAACTCTATGCTGTGACACTCTACTCAACAATGGCTTACCAGTTGCAACTACAGACTTCTTGACCGCACCGTTATCGTCACACAATTCGGAGTCAGGCCTGGAGTTTACATTTAGCTTATCACTGAACTTGCTCACTGGTTCACAGTTCACTTCTGTATGCACCTCTTGCAAACGTGTAAAACACAACCGTGTTTGTCTTGCATCTTGTAACTTATCTGTTGAGGATGTACTACGAAACCTGTTACACTCACTAGGTCTATATGCATTACTAGACATCATGGAGCCTTCTCGATATCCACCTTTTTGAGGCCTACTCGTCATCAATGATTGCATTTTGCTCTCAGACTGCTCTATTCTAGGGGTGAGATTCAATATACTGGCAAACTTCCTCATAGATTGATTGACACTAATATTTACCAGTTTCAGGATATCATCAAACTTTGGCTCGATACCCTCATCCTCCATACGGGAGCTTATCTTCATCCACCGTGCTCTTTTTTATATAGAGGAGATGAAAGCATGTGGGCAGGCTTGGAGCGGGGTGAAAAAGTCGGCAGAAAACAGAAGGCAATGGAGGTGCGCAGCTGAATCCCTATGCTCCTGTAGGAATTAAAGGATATAATAATAATAAAATAACTGACAACTACGATATCTTCTCTGGGAACAGATGAAAAGGCCATTGGTGTGGAACACTAACCCGATATGTAGTATACATTCTTTGTGACCCATCTGCATCACAGCTCGGTGAATATGTATTGGTAGAAATAAGGTGGCCTGCTCAAATCTAGGAGCCGCCTAATTTTTATTCATCGAAATGCATTATGATATCTCTATCTTTTTAAGTCATATCACCATAGTTTATTCTCACAGGTGGATTGCGGTCTGCTGCAAGGAATTTTCGAAAGAAATGACGGGACCATCGGGGAGCATGGAGAAGTGATGCAGTTAGAACGATATCCTATCAGATGATGCAATAACTATTACTGTTCATAATAATAATTTATATTTCGTATAAACGGGTAAGTTTACAAGAGACGCATGCCATGCAGTTATGTAACAAATTACAATGCTGAAGTATTATAAATTAACCCTTTTTCAAAAGTTTCAATTATTCAATTATTGTACAAGCAGTCAGAAGAGGTTCTTATAAGTGTTACAATGTTAACCCTTCACTAAGATCACCATCACGATTGAGCGACAACCCAAACTTCGTTCCGTTTCTTGTTGATCATTACGTTCAACCATTCAACAGCGTATATTTGGGTAAGTGCCCTCATTTCATTAACAGCTATTTCAGGAAGAGAAGAAAACTGCGCAGCTGCAAAATGGTGTAAAATGGAATTATGAATAATACACTATTGGAAGTATATTTACAAAGTAAATACGGGAAGAAGAAGCTGTAAAGTACTTGAAATTATAGTATACAATTTCAATGTTTAATACCAGCCATATTGGTCTAAGCATGGAAACTATGAACGGTTTGATGAAGATATAGCTTTGTTCAAACATTGGTGTTATTGTGTTCTAAATCAAGGAAGCCAGATTTGAGAAAGCAACAGATATGAACAGGACGCAAGTTTTAGCTAGATCTTCACATCCTGCATACTACAAACAACATGTAATTAATCCCACCACCACACCTTTTCGAGCCAACCAACCAAACCTACGACAGTCGAGTGGTGGGACGAACTACTAAAAAGTCCACTGAAGATCAGAAACCTTTACCTCACAGTCAAGAAGCAAGCACAAAGAAATCAAATTGGTTCATACTAGCTCGTTAAAACGATACTGGATTTTGGAAGCCTTGTGGTGGGCAAAACAACATCACCGGGATTTACACATATGCGTTCGCCCCCTTTTACAGTTCGCATAATTTTAATCTTCAGTTACAGGCGACTGCATATTTGCTACTTCCCTTTTTAAATCATTCATTTTTCATTTATTACATCATTCTAATTACATCCATTTTTGACCTCACCGAATGACCAGTGGGTGAAGTGAATAACTCCGAAGTAAACGCACAACATTCTACCAATCAAACATAACCAACCTACCCCATCAATCCCCTCAGTATTTTCCGAAGCTACATTAGGTGAGTGTCTAGAATAGCTTCCCAAAAACCTTCACCTCATTACCAAAAGGTGGGGCAAAGTTCAACAATATCGTCCCAAGGGATGCGATTGAAGGAGTGACCTTCAGACGACCTACCACAAAAATTAGTGATTTTTGCACAAAACATGACGTGTATTTGTGATTAAATGCATGAAAGCACATTAAAAAGGTCATAATTCTCTGACATTACTTAAAACTACGTCACAGTTATAATGAGGAGAGGGGTGTAAAGAGGGTGATTTGGTTTGAACAGGACGGCGCGTTCGTTTGGCTTTGCGGTTACGATGCCTCGGCAGGTTCAAGACCCCAATGGGAAGAAGTCTCTGTATGTTTACGTACATTTTAACAAGCCTTTTACTAACACAGAAACGTAAACAATGAATCGAATAGGATTTTATGGAAGTGTACTCAAGCAAATTGTCAAGGCTTTGTCTCTCGCACAGACCACAAATGTAGCCTGTGTAAGAAACTCTCGAGTTTTCCCAACACGGCACTGGCATCGATAAGTAAAGGGAATACTATTAATATAACTGCCAATGATACGCTATCTGTAAAAAGACCAAGAACTTCTAGCGACAGTCACCTTGTTCCGCTTAATATTTTCAGCATTGGAAGGTCGGGAATTTACGATGGCCGTTCAGAGGACTGTTGCATTACCTCCTCTTCAATCTTGTGCAGAGTTAAAGTTGAAGGTATGCTGTATTTGTATATCACTAATTTTTTAGGTGTTTGGACTAACCTCAGTATTCATGCCAACGACATCGAAATGCTTGTGTTCTGTGAATCTCTTCAAGTGCTATTTCTGAAGCCATACGACTCATACAAATCACAGCTCTCAAACCACCTGAAGCTCAGAGATTTTGTTTTACGTAAGGTTTCGGGTGGTCATTTTATAAGTGTTTGGTGTGGTATGTGCATTTTTTGTTAACCTTTAATGTACATATACTTGTCTAAGTAGTCAATTTCCCAGTTAGTCACAAGTGTGACGAGACAGAAAGCTATCTGCTTGACATCAGTTGTGGTAATTTGGGCTGGCAATAGCTTGATAATCGTGCGTAGTAAGTCACTTCACTGACGCTGACATGTTGCTTAGTTGTCTTATTACTAGGAAGTATCGAAACAACTGAGTTGTCGCGAATTCGCTTCCTCCCATGCAACCTCTGTGTTTTTTATTTGTCACCACCGCTTTACTGTGTTTACCGCCTTTACACGATCCACCAATTTTCTCTTTCCCCCCACAATGCTGTATGAACATAACGTTAGATTCAATAATTTATAGAATGCTAAAATTTCCCAACTGAATCGACGATAGTGTTTGAAACAAACCGCCTGTTATTGTTGTTGTATTTATTATTCTCAATTTGTACTTAGAACATTTTTGACTTTATGCCGTAAATGTGGACAAATTTCTGTAGTTAGATTTATTTATATTTCGAGTAAATCAGATGCCATATTGTGACAAACAATAGGTATCCCATTCTGTATTATAAGTATTGTTTTATGGAATAAAGTAGACTATTGTTATTCTTATTTTTATTAAATATCTGACTTCCAATTAGTGGGTTATGGCTTTGAATCGCGGTTCTTCCACCTTATCTCGGTTAACTGGGAAGTATTGCCACCCCTCCTCCTCACACACAATAGGCTGATACGTTCTTATTAGTAATCATCGCTAAGGTGATTTTTCAGCATAGGACTTTTCACTAAGGTGCATTTGTTCAAATTGTCATGCTTCATGAAGCACGCAAATTTTGAAGAGCCTTCCACTGATATATTGTGTTCCGATGGCTTTTGCCTCCTCGGGGAAAACTGGTAGGCTGCATACTGAACTTCCTATGAGTAACATTCTTGTCTTTCTGTACGAATATTAGTGGTATTCAAAGTGTACTTGTTTATTTGTCTCACAGCTAACGTCAAATGGCTGGTTTTCGTGTTTCGAGAACCTTCCACAAGCGAACCTCTTTATTTAACTGTGAGTAATCTCGAAGGTTTGGCCAACAAAATTGGGAGAAGTGGAGTCTGTGATATGCAGTGTAGTTCAGAAAACGCTAGGGAAATTCTTTCTAGCTGTGGTCTTCGTCTCCCCCGTTCTGAGCTGAGAAGGACTGGTACAGCATCTACTGAACCTTCAATCATAAATCGAATAGTTCAAGGCCAAGCTCTTGCTGATACGCATTATTCTGTGGAACCTAGTTCATCCCAGACAGTCAAATATGTAAATGAAGGTGGTTTATTAACTAATGTGATAAATACTCTTACGAACAACGGCTTCCAGTTGAAAACGAATTCTGGCTCTGCAACGCACGAAAGCAACGTAAATTGTAGAGGAAAATCGGAAACAAATGAAGTAAGTTATAGATTATTCTCCTTATTTCATGAGTAGTGCTCATATACTGTCTGGCTGTTTTCGACAAATAACTTTGCACAAATGTGCAGCAGTTCAAGTCGCCACACTCCATGTAGCGCACAAAGCAAAAGAAGAAAGTACAAGAAAAGCACAACAGAGACAGTAAGCAGAGGTGTGAGACAAAGGAAGACTAATAACGAGGAACAAAAGAGTTACATTGGAAATCATAAATCAGTAGGAGTGGATGCATCTGCGACACTGAGAACGATTTTGAACCATGTCACCAATTGTTTCCAACCATATATTTTTACCGTCCCGAGGACCCCAACCAGTCAGGAAGTCTACACCTTCCTACGCGGCTTAGACTAACTTGACTGGTGCCAAGTTTTTGTTTGACTGCCGCTAGGTTTTTTCCAGCCTGACCCTATATCCGCTAACATTGCTCGTCGAGGAAGGCGATGATTAGGCATGCATGCGTAACACATGTCCTAACCATCTCAGTCGATGTAACTGCTTCACAGCCTCGTCTATTGATTTTCCCTTCTACTTACCTAGCACTCGACCGATACCTAACCTCAATATTGCTCACCTTATTATACCACCAACCAACACGGGAGATAGAGCGCAGGCACCTATGATCGAAGATAGCTAATCTTTTCATGTCTTCCACTCTCAATGACCAGATCTCACAGCTGGCCATAAAGGAGGACGGAGCGGACTTTTGGGCAGTACACCCACCCTTTGGTCGATAGCCAGCCGGATATGACGTCTACTAGGCCATGGACAGCATAAACGGGCATATGCGAAACTAGCCCTCTGTATCCGTACTCAGCTGAGATTTCGTCATAGATCAACCCGTTGGCGTTGGCTGATGGTACTTCCCAAATAAGTGAAGCGGTCAACGTGCTCTACCACTTCACTTCCTATTTTTAAACTTGGCGTCGATGTAGTCCAGTCCTGTAACATCATCTTGCATTTGGCGGGAGCGAATTGCATGCCAAACATTCGTAGGTTGCAGCTCAAGGTGTTTAGATGACTGTATTTTGTCAGCGTCTTCGCCTAGAAGGACTATATCATCTGCATATTCTAAGTCAACGAGATTATGCCCTGGTAGCAAGTCAATCCCTGAGTCGCTGAATTTGCTCGGGATTAAGTTCATTAGTGCATCTATGATGAAGTTGAATAGAAAAGGGGATAATGGGCATCCTTGACGGACACCACTAGTCGTCACCAGTTCAGATGACAACTCACCGTAAGCCCTCACCTGGCTGACTGCATGAGTTCGAGTGGAGTGAGTGCTTTGATCAGTGCACTGTATTTTCTCGTCATTCCCTTTACAGCCAGGCACCTCCAGGTCGACAGAATCGAATTCCGCCTTCAGGTCAAGAAATATAATGATTGTTGAACGCCGGTAGGAATGACTATGTTCTAGAATCTGTCGGAGGGTGAAGATATGATCAATACACCCTCTTCCTAGTCTAAAGCCTGCCTGGTTCTCTCGTGTTTGTGCCTCCCGAGCACCACTCAGTCTACGCATGATTATTAAGCCTAAGACTTCAGATACTATATTAGTCAAGCTAATCCCTTTGTGATTAACACACAAAGACTTGTCTCCCTTCTTGTATATCGGGATAATCAGTGACTTACACCAATCCGATGGGACTTCTTCTGATTCCCAGACGCTGCCTAGAACCTCAGTTAATTCAGACAGTAAACTGTCTCGATTGTACTTAAATACCTCTGGAGTCACTCCATCAGGTCCCGCTGCTTTGCCTAGTTTTAGATTGGTGACAGCTTTAGTAACCCCAGTTAGGGGTGGAGGACCTGTGTCTATATCCCATTCAGGGAGGTGTTGGATGTTCGGCAAGTTGAGCGTGGCTGTGGGCCAATTAAACTGATCCTCGTAGTGCTCTTTCCAGCGTTCCAGTCGTCTATCGTGGGAGCTAATTATGGTGCCATCTGTCTCAGAATTAGTCCCACTTATGATTTGCCTCATATACTAATTGAGTTCTCAAACGTGCCCGTTTTTAGCCAAAAAATTGGTGGCATAGCTTTATGGTTTATGCGTTGCTAAATTTTGAGAAGTCTAGTAGCTTGGAAATATTTTTTAAGACACGTTGATGCCAAGCTCACAGTATTGGAGATATATGTTTCTATGGTCCTTGTGAAGTGTGGTGTAATATGGTATAAAATCATGTGATTATGATCAGTAGTTTGTGCTCGAATTGTCATCAGTTAATATTACTGTGTAACACTGTGATTTATCAAAATCAAATCTTATCTGCAATGGAGTTATACTCTACTCTATTTTGAGGATGAATGTAGTGCTAGGTAAGGGAGATGTTGTTAAGCTACACCTATTGAGATGGCTTGAACACGTGTTGTATGCCGAACCACATTCTTCCCCTACGAGCAATCGTAGTTGATATAGGGTTTTGTTGGAAGAGTGGGGGTTTGCCAAATGGAAACCCAAGAGTGATCGACGCAGACTTTGACATTTGCTTTGAGCCACGTGGAGAGGTGTAGGATGCCTGGTTGGAGTCCTCGGGTTGCCTGGAGGGTATTGGTGATATGGCTCAAAATCGTCCTTAACGACGCAGGTGCATCCACTCTCTATGTTCTATGGAATCCATTAAGTCCTTATTAAAGTTTAAGTCTTCTTACGCTGGTACTATGTCCTCGTAATCTTTTCCACTGCACTTGAAATTGTAGGTTAAGAGAGATCGGCTTAATGTACCGAATAAATGTTTCAGTCACCTTAGATAGTGTATCACAACCTTATTGTATTGAATCAAATTTTTCATCGAGTTTTCAGGATTGTGCATTTTATAGTTCATTATACATGTATGAGTGCCTCATTGGTTGGGGCACTAGACTTACAGCTTTATTGGTCGTGGGTTCGAGTTCCGCCCCACCTACTTGAATCCGGACAACTGGGTGGTATTGTCATCTCTCACAATACTCACAGTTCAGTCTGGTAGATGAAAAATGTGTGTTCTGAACAACTGGGGTCAAACAACATGGCCAGATACTATATCTTTAAGCTGTCATAGGACAGGACAGGACAACAGGGACTGCAATGCAACGTCATGGTTTGCTAAGGTCAGTATTTAATGAGCTTTAGACGATGAATTAACTTCGCTTTTAGAAATAATGTTTGTCGTTGAATTAGTTTTATCAGTTGATAAATGGTTCATTTACTCGATGGCTATCTTAAGATTAGTTCACTTTACTGACGACGACAAGGTTTAGTGGAACTGCAGTCCTATATTTTTATATAGGTTCCCAAACTGTTTCCCAACTATATATTTATTCTCCTTTTCTCCAATTAACATCAAATTTTCATCAGAATACTTAGAAATTAGGTGTAATTTACTAAGAATTTAAACAAAATTGTATTTATATATTGATCACATATCCTTTTATATTTGTTCACAACGATTTGTCTAATTCAACGACTTGTTTTTCTTTGAAGTTAGACGAGGAATGTGACGACTTAATTATAATACATGAAGAAAATACTTCTAATGTGGCCGCTCAACCTCCTGGTGATAATGTGCAAGCAGAGTCGACTACGAATTGTGACGAAGACTCCTTGTAAGCGAAACTTTTTTTGTACCTTAGAAAGCAGTTCGTCATTTTGGTAGCCAATACAAAACTACACTAGTTGCCTAAAGTGATTGATACTTTGCCTTTCCTTAAAATGTTCAGTGTTCGTCTCCATAGCCACTGATGACCACCTCACGTTGCTCACATTACTTAGATTTTAACTTAATTTCACTCCTTACTGTCCAAGATACTTTCAAACCAATATGTTGCTAAATTACTGTTTACATCGGGATTCTTGGACTCTTAACAAAGCTAACGTGATGTGACATTTGAAACTGTCTTCATCAACCACAATGGGCAACATGGTGTTTAAGATCTTTTCCCCCTTTTTTCATAAAAGTATGGGATGCGTATTGCTTATATCATTTAGTCAAATAAATGACTAGTTTTCATTATCACTATCGAGTGTTACTGAAAACAATTACGAATGTTGTAGCATAGAACGTTTTACATGAAAGCAAGCTTAGCTCGTGTTCTGTGCGATAAAGAAAGCACTAGGTGTGAAACCTTTAACTTATTAAATAGTCAGTAGAAGAACTGGATCTTGTCTTTCCAACTCACATCATTTATAGGTACAACGTTTTCTCTCTTTTCCTTTCTCTCTGCTTTTTTTTGTTATGGGCTGTTTTGTTTCTCTCTTCCTTACAAATTCTACTTAAAACATTGTCGTTCGTTCTTTCACACTTTGTATATCTCGTCCATTTTGTCACCGCTTATGCCAGTAAATATGCTACCATCTACTTTTCTAACACCTAACACTGTTTAATTTTGGCTTTACTACCGACATGCCAATATGTTGTTGTCAAAACTAACTGAGATAACCTTAATCTATGTAGAACTTTATTTATTGTTGATGTACTAACTGGATGCAATATTGTAGTAAAATGCTGAGAATTCCATTCTGTATCACAAATACTGTTTTGGAATAAAGCTATTATCTTATCTTAAGCTTTCAGGTTACACAACTTGTGGTTGTCAACCTGAACTATTATTTACTAATCACTCCAGCCTGAAATATGTTTGAAGAAATAAAAGTGTGTTATCTTCTCACTTTATTGACTTGTTCATTAGAAATATCAGAGCAGAACTGTTGCTTACCGCATGACTTTTAGAATACAATTTATTGTTTCTGAATGTGTCAAGTGGAATTCCACAGATGTATGCATGGAGTAACCATGGCGACTAGTATTATGAACGATAAATTCTGTTTGTAATAATATCAGTTGCATGATATTGTTTCACTGTATCTTATAAGTGAAGCGACATAGTGTTGAATACCACAGGGTTCAAGTTCTTTTGTGTTTTATGTTTCTTAAAATATTTTAGTCTACATATTAGTGTGAAATTCAAGTGTTCGCATTCGCAGATCCCTAGTATCACCTAAAAGCCTAGATATTTATTATATCTACTGGCAGCTTGGATTATTAGACGAATTATTATGCCGAAAATGGACGGATAACTAGTTTCTTAGCTCTAACAGAAGGCTTTAGCGTCTTCATTTTTATCGTTTGGAAATGGTTTCAGGTGATTAAGATTCACGTTCTATCGTTGGGGAGACAATTAGGAGATATGAAACGGGTAAGCTCTTCTGCATGGATGGATGGATGGATGGATTGGCATATTTTACACAATAGTAGCATTTTATAGAAGTCAGTGTATATCGATTCCCCTGTGAAGTAAAAGTTGCTTACGATCAGTCAGTCACATAAAACGTTGATCAATGCTCACAAATGAAGCAAATCTTGTTATCTAGTGTGTATGCGGGTTGTATTCAGCAAATATGACTTTTGTTTTGCTCTAATCTAAAGATTTTATAAGACGACTACTATTTGAAATTTCCTTAATTATTATTTTCAGTAAATTTGATTATAAGCCTGCTGGATCTGTTGATGGTATAACATTGACGAAAAGTGATCTTCAGTGTCTTGAACCTGGAGCTCTTATAAACGATGCAATAATCAATTTTTATTTGAAATACTTGTACTTCGAGCAACTGACGGACTTTCAGAGACAAGCTACTCATGTATTCAATGTGTTTTTCTATAGTCGGTTAACAGGCGGCAATGTATCAGTTGATACACGCAACTCCACAGTCACAGAAACGACAACAGAGTAGGTTTAATTCAAAGCAGAATAATTGCCTTTTTTGGTTTGTGTTTCAATTCACTGATGCCTTTTCCATCTCTTTCGCCCAGCACTTTTCGTGATCGTCACCAAGACCAAGCGAGGGAGGGGTAGCGGCTTCGTAGGTGCCTGTTTTCTAGGTCCGTTTAATGATAGGCATTTACGTGCATAAACTAGGGTGCAATCGAAGTCTACGCAAGTTTCCCAGAAGGATCAGTAGTCTTCTATCGACCCTTTCCATCAACAGTTCATCGATATGTGGTCTATTTTGGTTCGTCGATTTGAAGATGGAAGTCCCCATTTGTTTGAAATGAGTGCGGACTAGGTAGAAGTTACTATCTGAACATAACTATGGTAGACAACCACCGTTCTCGATTTCGTCGGCATGAAACCCCATAGGTACCACCAATATACTTGAGTGTCTGGCACAAGCTCCCTACTTAAGGATTGGTGTCGTCTATGAGAAAGACTGTATCCGAGCTTTCTACTTTTATCATCATACTGAACAGCTTTCGGCAGAACTCATCGTTTACTCCGTACTAAATACAGTATGTTGGCGTGTGTGTGTGTGTGTAAGCGGAAATGATAAAGATACATCGACGGGTTTCTCAATCTTTTCTTCTGATGGACTCGTTAAGCTGAACAGCGCACGACTGTCCACTGGAATCATATCAAGTAGATATTTTCTTGCCCTAGCACTCATTTCCATCTCCACACTGTCAAGTTCTTACGAACTAACCGACGAATCTTCTGACACCCGTGAGGTGAAATTTGCAGGTTCACCCTATTGACTAGGTGAGGTTAAGTGAATATTCACACTTGGATCTTTTATTTTTATAATATAGAAACAAAACATACACGCATGACTGGAGATGATGCCAGAGTCCTCGCTATTGAAGCCTGTTGTTCGATTTGACTAAGGGTTCTGGCGTTAAACGCTGCAATACGAAGCTGGCCACGTGAGTTTAAGGGAGACTATCAGTAGTGTTTTTCCGACTGTCGTCGGTATTATTGATTGGAGAGTTGAGAGACGTGCCTGTGAGATAGTATCAACAGTAGGAAGAAAGCAAGATAATGAAATTGATGGGGGGGGTGGAAGGCAGGAGATGGGTAGGAAAGCTTTGTGTGTTTCCCACCTGCTCACACCATGGAAGTTGTCTTCTCAAAAATGACGTACATTTGGTTCCCTTGGTAAATTTCGACAGAGAAAGAAAGATCAGATTTGCAGTATAAAATGATATCATCAGTCTATTTCACAGGTTCTCGTCAGCTAACTGTAAACTACCTGGAATGACAATGGTTATAAATAATAATAATACTTTATACTTCAATGTTTGAAAGGTGATAGAGAAAACATTACAAGATGAAGGCATCTGGAATACAATGGGGGTTAGAGAAGACAGAAAACAGAGAAATCTAACAAACAGTGTATGTGATGAGGTTACCTGCAACCGCTTTTATAAATTTACGTGTACCTGCGGCAGCACGTACATTGGAAGGACAGAAAGAAGGGTTTCTATCCGGTTTTCAGAGCATATTTCAAGAAACTTATGCCTAAAAGGAAGCAGATATTTACAAAGTGCGATTCGCAGATACCTTGTTGGTACGGATCATTTTGTCGAGATTTCCAAATGCTTGAAAATATTAAACATACAAAGCACAGTGAATCTACTACGATTTGCTGAAGCAATTACAGGAATCAAACGTTTCAGACCAAACTTATGCACACAGAAATAGAGTGTAGTCGATCTCTCACTCCGTTGGTAACCGTATTACTTTCATTACACTGATTACTCATACACACTAAGTGAGCTCAGCTTACTGAGGAGGTTTCCAATTTGATGAACTTTAGCCTTCTTGAGTTTCCATGTTGACGTACAAGCTAACACTGTCGATTAGATTTCTCGGTTTTGCTGTCTTCTCTCACCCCCTCCCCTACCTTTTTTTCGTTGTCTGATGGTGACTTAAACTAAAATTTGTAATACTTGTATTCCATATGCGTTCATCTTGTCATGTTTTCTCTATTACCTTTCAAACATTGAAATTTTATTATTATTATTATTATTATTGTATCCTTTAGTTCCTAGAGGAACATAGGGCTTCAGCTGCGCACCTCCATTGACTTCGGTTTTCTGACAACTTTTTCAACCTGCTCCAGGTCTGTCCACATGCTTTCATCTCCTCCTCGCATGACCTCCTCCAAGTCACCCTTGGACGACCAACTCGCCGCCTCCCTTTCGGGTTCCACTCGAGGGCTTGTCTAGTGATGTCACTTGATGGTTTCCTCAGCGTATGGCCAATCCATCTCCATTTCTTTCTGCCTATTTGTTTCACAATCGGTTCCTGATTGGTTCGCTCCCAGAGATCCCTGTTGCTGATCTTTTCTGGCCATCTGATCTTGAGTATTGAGCGGAGACAGTTGTTAATGAAGGTTTGAAGTTTGTTTGAGATGCTCTTTATGACTCGCCAAGTCTCTGATCCGTATAGTAGCACTGACTTCACATTGGAGTTGAAAATCCGGATCTTATTTTTGATGCTGATTGCTGTTGACCTCCACACAGATTTGAGAGTAATGAAAGCTTGTCTTGCTTTTCCGATTCTGGCTTTGATGTCCTCGTCAGTTCCGCCTGTAGTTGAGACGATGCTTCCCAGGTAGGTGAAGGAGGTTGTTTCTTTCAGGTTCTTCCCATTTATGCTTATTGTTGTCTGTTGTTGTTGTTGGTGTTGATGTTGGCTAGGAATCTTCATCATCTCTGTTTTATCTATGTTCACGTGAAGTCCTATCTTTGATGCTTCTTCTGCCAACTTGTTACTTTTCACTTGCATATCTTCCAGTTTATGGGAAATCAGACATATATCATCGGCGAAATCCAGATCCTCCAAGTCTTTTGTGTCAGTCCATTTTATGCCTGTTCCCTCGTTGGTTGCCGTTGTCTGTCGCATTATCCAATCAATTGCAATCAGGAAGATCATTGGTGATAGTAGACAGCCTTGCCTCACTCCCGTCCTCACTTCGAAGGCTTCCGTAAGTTTCCCGTTGTGGATTACTTGGCATGCAGCATTGTCGTATAACTGTTGGATGAGGTGTATAATTGTCGATGGGACCCCGTAGTAGCGAAGTAGTTTCCAAATGACCTCTCGATCGACGCTGTCGAAGGCCTTTTCAAAGTCGATGAAGTTGAGATAGAGAGGTGACTGCCATTCCAAGCTTTGTTCAATGATGATCCGTAGAGTGGCGATTTGATCAATACATGATTTGTTTCTCCTGAATCCAGCCTGTTCCGGACGAAGTTTTTCATCTAGGGCTTGTTTGATTCTCTCCAGGATGATGCGACTTAGTATCTTGCTTGGAATGGACAGAAGCATAATTCCACGCCAGTTTTTACATTGACTTAAGTCTCCTTTCTTTGGAAGTTTGAATAAGTAACTGTTCTTCCAATCCTCGGGTACTTTGCCCTCTTTCCACACCTTCTCCAGTAGTGGTGTCATCAAGTCCGCTGTTGTCTCTGGGTCTATTTTCAAAGCCTCTGCTGGGATTCCATCTGGTCCCGGTGTTTTCCCAGTTTTAAGCATCTTGATTGCATTCAGGACTTCTGATTTCGTCGGGGGGTCAGTGTTCACTGGTAGTTCTGCTTCCGTTGTTGGTATTGCTGGACGTGTTGTAGGTGGCGGACGATTTAGAAGTCTTTTGAAGTGTTCAACCCAGTGCTTTCTCTGTTCCACCTCTTTGGTGATTGACTTTCCATTGTCGTCCTTTATTGGCTTAATCTGTGTCGAACGTTTGCCCGAAAGGTTCCTAGTTGTTTGGTAGAGTGTGGCGAGGTCTCCTTTGCCTGCAGCTTGTTCTGCTTCGTTTGCCATGGTTTCATAATATTTTCTTTTGTCTTCCCTGGCACTTTTCTTCACTCTTTTGTTCAGTGTATTGTAGCTTGCATTCAGCTCCTGTTTTTGTTGCTCGTCCGTGCACTGGATAATCTTTTGCTTCACTGTCCTTCTCTCTTCTATTAGTTTCCAAGTGTCCGTAGTGAGCCACTGTTTGTCCTGTCTCTTTTTTCTGCCTAGAATTTCTATGCAGGTTTGGCTCCACACCGTTTTCAAGTTGTTCCAGTGCTTTTCAACGCCGACCTCTTCGCTAGTGTTGATTTGTGTCTCGGCTTTGTCCTTTATGCTTGCAATGAAGATGTCCTTTGTAGCCTGGTCCTTCAGCTTTTGAGTGTTGAACTTGGCTTGTGGTCTATCTGCAGCTCCTGATTCCCTGAAAGCTTTTAATTTGATTTGGATTGTCCCTTGTACGAGATAGTGGTCTGAGCCAACGTCTGCTCCTCTTCTTGCTTTTGTGTCCAGTAGGCTGCGCCTCCACTTCCTTGAGATTGAGATGAAGTCGATTTGGTTTTTGGTTTGCCCGTCTGGTGACACCCATGTAGCCTTGTGGATATCTTTGTGCTTGTATACACTGCCACCAATCACCAGTTCGTTGAAGGCGCAGAAGTCGGCGAAGAGTTCTCCGTTTTCATTCATTCACCTGTTGACAATTTGGTGAGTCCACTCCCATTCCATCTGCTCTCACATATTCCCAGCACTTGTATTCCGTATCTTTTCATCTCGTTGGCGATCTGGGCAGCTTTCCCAGTCTCGTACATAGTTCGGACGTTCCATGTTCCTACACAGACTTTTTCTTTTGGTGCAAGGAGGTTCAACATACTGAAGTTTCTTTAGCAATTTTTGTTTACAGGGTGGGGTTGCTAGCCTCACGCCTGAGAAAAGAATGATTACATTAAGTAAAAGTTTAGAGAGAAGCAACGTTTTGGGTTGCTCCCCTCAAAATCAGAAAATAACGGACAAACAATGAGAACAACATCAACAAAGGAAACAGTTCACAGAAAAAAGGGCAAAAAGCGACGACAACTATACAATAAGACAACATGCAATATAGTTCAGTACATTTAACTAAAATGATATCTTAACCATAAACTCACTGACTTGGAGCAACTTGAACTTATAAATCCAACAATATATACAATTATAGATGTGTTTATGTTGAAAAATTCCACAAATCCAAACAGTGAGTTATGTGTATTATCTGTCAATAAGATTGTATTTTTTGGATTCAGTGTTCGAAAGGTTAATAATTGTGATAATTTCCGCAAACACTTTGCATGAAATTTTAGAGTAATAAGAGATTTTATTTATGACCAAAATGTAGCGTAATAGTCGAAAAGCCAAACATTGAAATATAAAGTGTTATTATTTGTAACCATTGTCATTCCAGGTAGTTTACAGTTAGCTGACGAGAACCTGTGAAATAGATTGATGATATCATTTTATAGTGCAAATCTGATCTTTCTTTCTCTGTCGAAAGTTGTCTTCGTTTTGGGGAATGAAACAGAAGGAGCATTTGTGTTGCCTGACCGCGGAACGCAGAGGGACATCTACTTGAGGCTGGTCACATACGGTCTGTTTAAAGTGGGTTTTGGAATGGTGTCTGTATTAAGATCTTACTGGCGGCTGCGGTCCGTCAGAAGGTGGTAAGTTAGAATGTATAATCCTCGAAGTCGACCTTTATTCAATCACACGTGTCTTCAGAGCGGAGAAGCAGCATAGCTGGCTTGCTGGTCGTTCTAAGGAAACACCTAGCTCCTGTTGCTTCCCTATTCGCCAGGAGTGCTACTTCGTCCTCATAACTCCAGCATTAGTGTAAACGACTTATGCTATGTTGGCAGCTGCTTTTAGCCTAACTTCCATGCAAACAAGCATTCTGGCATATTGGGATCTGTGGGAAAGTTAATTACACCCAGTGTAGGTAGTTCGTTGGATCATTGCGATACACCAACGCGGAGACTATTTCAAGGTAGCAGGTATCGTTCGGGGTAAATATATATATATATATATATATAAACAATAATCCACCTTTGCTGATAACTTTTTTTAACTGCATTGTTGTTAACGAAGTGCCTAGTAGTTGTGTTATCATCACGAAAGGGCGACGTCTGTACAAAGCGTTAAGTGTAGGATTTAAGTAGGGGGATAGTAATGAAGATGCCTTTCTACTATGTCAAATGATGAGTGAGTATGTGAATTGGCTTTACTTGCCTTCATATCAGTACACGTGTGTGTATGTGTGGAATATCTCAATTGGACTAAATATTGAGTTGAGAATGAAAGATTATTCTGCAAAGTGCTGGAAAAAAAGCAAAATGTAACAAGAGTAATGATGTGAAGGAGTTGAGTGGTTGGATTACTCTTCGCCCTCCTCTGTCATCACTTTGTATCGCTTTCGAGGCGTTGTTATCTACATCTACAATCAATTTCCTTTGTTGGAAAATACACGTATCATCGTGAACGTGGGGTGGCCTTGTGATTTTCCCTTTTTCGCGTCAGGACAGTTAACTACTCAGCAGTACATAACATTTATTGGCGACTAGCACCATAACATTAAACATGTTGTCTTCCACCACAATAGACTTCTCTGATTGATGAGTGGCATGAGAATGCTATGGTTGTTGAAAGTTATGTAGCTGTGTTCATCACAGTTAATGGGAATAAGTGGCTCAAAATACCTTCACCTGTATAGTTTTGGGCATTTGTACACTGATTATATATGTGTATATATATATATATATATACGTGTTTATGTGTATATATATTTCTAACTCACATTTTTTCCTAATAATTATCCTTTCACAGAATGATACTTGCTCGGCACGCCAATGTAGCCAAGTGGACACGTCGAGTTGATCTTTTCAGTAAAGATTATATCATTATTCCAATAAATGAAAGGTAGGTGTACATCAGATTACCATTGTTCCGTTAGTACATTAATAAGCATAAGTAGTAATCTAAAGTTGAACTGTTTCAAATAATATTTATATACTTGAAGAAAAATCTGAGTATTGCTGCGTCTGGTCATTTGTGCCGAATCATCAATAGACATCAGAGTATAAAACATCCAACTACTAAGATCACCTTCAGATGGTCGATAATGGTAGTCGTATGTGTGGTGAAATAAACAAAATGCTGCCTACCAACGATACAAGTGTAGTGTCGAAAGACGCGGAGCTTTCACACCATCTTTATTCAGGAAATAAAACTCCAAAACATATAACAACCAGTAGTAAATACAAACAAGTATGAAATGTTCATTGGATAAAAACGGAGTTAGTTGAATAGTGAACATGGGAACCGCCATGGTAGTCACACAGGGGAGACTTCGCGGTGGAATTAAAGTTCACTTCACCTTCTATATTCCATGTTCAGTCAATTGGGGTCGGTAATATTGTAGGAATTGAGTCAGTTCGACATGAAAGTCATGCAAACATAGAGCATATTTTCGATGTATTCTTAGCATGCATGTTTTGGAGAAACATTGATGATAATTTTGGGGCTATCAGTGTTAGGGTGATGATGTGTGTGTGGGAAGAGGAAATGCTGCAATCCAGGTAATCATTCAAAAGTTGAACATAAGATCAGGAGAAGTGGATTTTTGCTTGCACCATTCCTACCTAGTGTTATATCAGTATTTTCAGTTGATTTATTTCTTCCTGTGTGATTGATTGATTCTGAATGTTTGTCTTTAACAATCATATATATCAGTCTATATGAACAGATTCATTGGTCGTATTTATTTACACTTTTATAGTTCCCATTGGTTTGTTGCTCTCGTTTGCTATCCTTGGATGGCGGGAATGGTCAGTTATACAGCTCTTTATGATGAACAAGTTTATCACCTCTGTCAGTTAACAGAAGAATTTGCTGATGTAGATCTTATTGAATTCTCAGGTGATCCACACTTGTCAAATATCGGTGAAGAAGTTATTCAAAGGTTACCTACAGATTTTCAAGTAAGTAATGATGAACTAAATTCCTCATGTTGAACAAAATGATATTTAAAATATTGACATTGTTGTAAATTCTCAGTGTTTTAAAATTTGTTTCCTTTGTACAAGGCTGGATTTAATTGTGTGGCAGCCACTTGGTTTCAATTGTTTGCTAATAACTGGTGTCTTGAAATTAGGAAAAGTCAAACACAGTAAGCTGGTGTCGACGGAAAGCCTTGGCAGATCTAACAGGTGTTGACAGTTTGCGTTTATGATGAAGAAACTGACTATTGTTATCAAACAGTCCATATGTCTAAACAGGTGTATAGAAAAACTAGATGGAGGAATGTAAATTTTGGTGACATTTTGGATGAATAGTTCAACACTAGGAGATTTGCTATTCCAATAACAAAACATTCTATTAGGTGCTGTTTGTGACAGGTGGGAGATTACAAATCTTCACCAGAATGACAATTTTTTAAAGTGTGATTGGTTACAGGATTTCATCATGAGCTGACATTGGTTAGGGAACCATTGGAAAACCTGGGAGTACTGGACAGCTGTTTCGTTACTCTTTATCGGTACGCAACCCCCGCGTTTCGAACCCAGGACCTTCTGGTTACAAGGCGAGCTCGTAGACCGTTAAGCCACTGGGACCCGATTCAATGGCCCATGAATTCTAACTTCTGCCAATTCACGATATAGCGCAACCTCTAGCCAATGTCTTCGGCGAGCACTTATCTTCACACCCAACCTGCTGCACCCTACATTGTGAATTGGCACTTACAAACCAATACTTAAAGTATGATTGTTATATTAGCAAAATGGCTTTAATGTTGGAGGTGGTCATAAAGGTGACTTGGGAGTTTATTGTAAAGTCTTCAGTGTCAAACTGACAATTTTCTGTAATAATTAGTCGTCTGTGGTCAGCATTATGTTCAAGGATGAAGAGAAGTATTGTCTCATTAGTATGAAATTACTGAGGAATGTCGGTGTTCTTCGTTACCCTTCTAATTTCGCAACATTATTTAATGGAAGCACGAGTGTGTGTGTGTGTGTGTGTGAGTGGTTGTGTGTGCACGCTGAACAGGTGTAGAGGACCTCCACAGTTGAGTCTGTGTATGTAAGGCTAAAAGATACGCGGTGCAGCCAGTCAGAAGTGAGAGCAAATATACGCCGGTGGTCGCGCTAAAATCATGAATTGGTAGAACAGACAAAGCTCAAGTTGTACAATTGATGAAACAACAGCTTACTATGTATACGTAGATGACACATTCTTTGTATGCAATGACTTGAGTCACGCCTCATCTCTGTTGGGCTTATTCAACAGTGTAATGTACATAAGGCCATCACTTTCACGACGTGGAACACGATTACCTCAGTGACTCATCTCTTAGTAACTCTTTGTTTTTTAATTTCATTAACTTATCTTTTCGCTCCCCCCTTTTTTTCTCTTTGACTTTTACAAGAGATAATTTTTCTTGACCTGAGTTCTACTCACCGTGTTGCGTCATCATCTCATTTGACCTTTCGCACACCAAATTTTGATCATCTCTTATGCAACGGCATAACTGTTACTAATTTTTGTTACCATCCCGCCAATAGATTTGTCGATTAATTTTTCAAGAATCTTCTGTGTATACTGTAATAATAATAATAATAATAATAATTCAGATACCTTATCTGTCGTCTTGGTGTTTTATTTCACTATGTTGCTCTTACAATATGTTTGTTGATAGACATGTTGAAATTGCACATTGACATATTTATTTTATTAAAGATTATTAGTTGTACTCAGTTGATGGATGGGAACCAACGAGATAAAATGAAGCCCTGTTATTCTCCGCCAGTGTTTGTTCTTTCTCTGCTCAAATTTATAAAGTGTAATTCCAGTATGGAGTTAGAATTCATGTTGTGTGTGTGTGTGTGTGTGTGTGTCTGTGACTAAAATTGATCTACGAGGTTGTCTCGTGATTGAAACTTCGTGGGGTGGATGCGTGCTGTGATGAGTCGCAAACTAGGACAAAACAGCTGTGCAGTACTCCCTTGGTTTCCAGTGATGATGTCGCCTTCTGAAACTGTTCAGAATCTACTAATCTGATGTGAATGAATTCACTCCAGCATAGAATCTTTGAATGATTCACTGCTCTCTTTGTCTGTTTGTTTGTTTCCTCTTTCGTTTATCTTAGTACGTTTTTAATTTGTAATTGGTGTCTCTGTAGTACTATGTCAAGTTAAAACGATGTGCTTACACAGTATATATATATATATATATATATATATATATGTGTATGTTTTGTATATTGATCGGCGGCTCATATTTTGCATGGGGCTTTCGCCAATGATACTTGATAACGTTGATTTAAAGGACAAAGGCATGTTTTCCTTAGATGTTGAATCTCTATTTACAAATGTGCCTCTTTTACAGACGGTTGACATTTTATGTGATTACATCTCTGACAACGAATTCCTTTTTACCAGTATCAACACCTTACTTAAAAGAGTTACTACTTCTTTGTACTAAAAATGTTAAGTTTACATTTGAGGGCGAGCATTATCGCCAGATCGATGGGGTTATCATGGGAAGCCCCGTAGGTCCATTGTTAGCTGATACATATATGTCGCATGTCGAAAATCTAGTGGAGAAAGAAATTGGAAAAGTTTATTTTTATAAAAGATATGTAGATGACAAAATAGTCATTTGTGATAAACCGACTGAAGCCATAGAAATCCTGGACCAGATCAACAGAGGACAAGACAGTATGTCGAAAACAGACAGACAGACAGATATCGCTAACAAACTATGTTAATGAGAATAATGGTTGTCTGCCATTTTTAGGTGTACTCATAACCCGCCGAGAAGATGGGTCAGTAAAACGATCTGTCTACAGAAAGTCAACATGGACGGGACAGTATCTAAATTATCATAGTTTCTATCCACTACAGTATAAAAAGACGGTTAAATGTTTGTTCAAACGCTTTATTTCACCGAATTTGTACTGCTGATACAATTGAAGAAGAAAGACAACACATCACAGAAATACTGTTAGATAACAATTATCCACTGAGATTTATTAGACGTTACGGAAGCGTCAACCACAGAGCTTTACCAATCTAATCAGCTCCCAAAAAAGATGTTTACATATCCTTGCCGTTCAGAGGTAATCAACAAAGTGTGGTCACTAAACAAAGACTCAAAGCCGCAATTAATAGAACCTATTATGCAGCTAAACTTATCTTCATAGAGGAAACGAGAACCATGCTGTCCTGTAAACCCTCACATTATCCGAACGATAGTGTCACATCCCACTGTGTTTATCAATTTACGTCTATGTGCGGAGACACGTATATAGGGAGAACCCATCGGTCTCTGCAGGTTAGGGCTACAGAACACATTCCAAAGTGGCTGCAACAACAAATGAAATCGCCAGATACAACTGACCCCAGAAATAGATGTCCAACATCATCTATAGCAAAGCATTATTACAGAGATGAGTCACAAGGTTGATTTCAACAATGCCTTTAAACCGATATATAAAACAAAGTTGGGCCACATACTTAAATTCATTGAGTCCTTAGCCATAAAAATGACTTAAACCTGTCTTATGTGCGTCGGTGGCATAGCGGTTAGGACGCTCGCCGACCATGCACATGGTCCGGGGTTCGATCCCCGGCCACCGACGTACTCCTTTACCTCGCTGAGCCAGAAATAATCTTGGTAAAGAGTAAAGGTTGGGCATGAGGCTGGTTAGCAACTCCATCCTGTAAAATAAACACTGCTACAGAGACTTCTAGCCACTAGCTTGAAATTGCCCTATGTTCCACTGGGGAACGTGAAGGAAAAAAATGTGTCCAAAAGCTATTTGTTATCACCTTAAACCTGCCTTGGTAATCCAAGCTAGAACCAAGAACCAATTCACTTCATAATATTTTCAATCCCTTCTTTGCCTTGTTTTTCTCTTTTGAACTTTCTCGCCCACACCTTTTGCTTCTCCCTACCTATTATTTGTGACGTTGACCTGTACACAATCTGACCTGTATCGTAATTATTCATGCCTTCTTACTTTTTATAAAAGCTGTGTATGACATGTACGTGCGTTATAAGAATGTCCGAAATGTGTTGCGCCAATACATTACACGTTTCAGATAAACTATGTCTTCTTATTGTGTTATCGAAATTCATAAAGGGAACTAATTGCTCTGAACTTGATAACTTACTTTGAAAATCGTTATTTTAATCGTTGACGTGTCCGTTTGTTGATCCAAAAGATGATATTTATTTGAAAGCGTTATAATCTCTAGCTATACATCCATGTCTTTGAATTTCTAAATACGCATAAGCGGTTTTCCTTACTCATTTTGCAGATTGTATCCAACTTGTAGATTTTCTGATATTCGGTGGATAGACGAGAGTACATATTTAACATACGATGTGTTGAGATGTTTTTTTCAGTTGTAATTGTGATGAGATAAGGGTTTTGGTACTTGCTTGGCTGTAACTTAGGAGAAAAACTTTTGATTTTCGCACTGTTTGTTCAATAGTCGTGTCCACTGCATTCTCAAGAAGTGTGTGTGTATAAATGTCTATTTTAAGATTTACTATTATTATTATTTCTCTTAGCATTGACTGTGTGTTGGGTGTATTTGTTTACAGGGTCAAGCATTTGATCGGTGGAGACGAAAACGTCTAGCCTGGCTTCGCAAATGTGGTATCAATGCTATGTAAGTTGTTCTATATATATGTTCTTCCATATATGTAGAAGCAATGTATCCTGGTGCTGTGCTCAATCTTCACTGTCGTCATGCATGCAAATAACCGAATGTGTATTTGTTCCTCTATTACTTGTAGAGAATTTTCTTATATTTGAGTCAGATAGCTGTGTGGTTATGTATATGTATATATAATGGTGAGAAGAGTTTTCGACCCATTCATATTGAAGCAGAAGTAGAGGACTTTCCACTGGCTTAACATGCATTTTTTAAAGTTTTATAGTAAAGACACTGGGTTCCACTGTGTGATACATCTCACACAACAAACTAACATGGAATTACTTATTGCCACCACGACCACAGTGGCCAGGTTTTGCACATATATTTAGATAGAGTGTTATTGTTGTTCCCAAATGGAGCCATTTGTTTGCGGGTGGCACTGCGCTGAGAGGCAGCGGCAACTGATGCGCTAACACATTGGATGACATTCTATATTGTATTTCCGAATCTTAGGCTATTTATTGTTGTTTTAATTAATGGTTTGATGTGTGTGTTGTATTGTGTTGTCATGATCAAATCATGCCTGAAATTTATGGCCACGTATATTTTCTTTTCTATCTTACACAGGCCATGCATTCTACTCTTCGATTCGTATCCTGTTCAAACTAGAATTACTAATTTGTCTACTATTCGGGAGTAAGATATTTCTACATTTGTGCATGTATCTGTGACTTGATTACGCTGTGTTGTTGTGTAGAGCAATGAAAAATATGACTGTTTGTTGCATATGAGTTATGCTTTCTTTTCATGTAAAGAATTTCACACTTTTATGCCGTGCCATTCAACTTTTCTTCCCTAAACTGAACTATGCTCATGTTCGTTCACTGGTTAAAAAGTAGAGCTGTAGACTGTGTGTGAAACGCGTTGAGCGTGTCAAGCCATACCCCTGACAGTCATCAATGATTGAAAGAAAATCAGGTGTAGTTGTTGTGTTGGCATGGAATAAAAATGGCAAGAGTGTGTGCGAGTCAATATAAAAGTAGAAGAAATTGAAAAGGCGAGCACACTAGGTAAAACAAGTTGATCATTATGCCTTGTAAATGAGAAAGCGTCGTGAAATAGTTGTGGTGAGTCTACCGAAACGTTTTGATAACAGAAGGTTAGATAATGAGCGAACACTTTAAAGGACAGAATGTCTTGTCGACAACCTCATTACATCTGCCCACCAATTGAACTGAACACAGTCTGATTGGAATGTCAACAGCGGTCGCCATCCGGTGAATGAGATTGGAAAAGTTGTGTGTAATCTGAAAACAAAGCAGAACATTGAAACCTTGTGCTGTGATCGCGAAGATATTTACAGATGGGAGTGATGAATTATTGAATGCATTCACTACAGTGTCAAGGCTTTTTCTTGGCTGATTGACTGCCACTGTAGAACCTTGGAGAAAAGTAAGGCAGTTCAAGTTCTGCACATAAGTTCACAAGTATGCAAATCTTGAGAGAAAAAGTTTGAAGGAATTACGATGAAGAGAATGTATGGAGGAAAGGATAATTACAACGTATGCAGAGTGATTGAGGAGTGATGAATGTTGGAGAGTGTATGCAGGGTGGATAGACTTGTTCCACTGCGAAGAAGGATTTTAAGCCGTGTCAGGTGACTTTCCTGAAATAATAAATAGTCAAAGGTTTCATGGATTGATGAAATGTTTTGCTTTCATCGCCATCAAAACTTTTGGAGATTAAAATCAATCATGTCATCTAAGATTATACTTGATGTGGAAGACAAGGCCATGAATATTAGCATGCTTAGCACATGTTCTAGTTATCTCAATCCGTACAGTTAACTAGCTAGCTAGCTTCACAACCACCTCATCATCTGTTGGTGAAGACCAATCCTACAGCATCATCTTCCATTTGACATAGGTGATTAGCATACACCCTTAAGTAATGCCTTTTTTGATCAAAGTTCTACATTGATGAGTCAGCGAACCGGTTAGTATATATCAAGCGCAAAATAACGTTTTGTTCATTTCAGTTATTTGCAGGCGGAGTGGATCACTCGGAGGTCATCACAAGACGGTCTTCTACACTTCGACAGAGACACAATCCGAGGATTCAGTCCTCGAGTGCCCCTACAGAGTAATCCCGTCGACTGTGGAATATTTTTGCTTCACTACATTGAGATGTTTTTCAAGGTAATTTTGTTAATCATTGCTTATTCCTTCGAGTGTTGCTCTATTTCACTATAAAAATGTATTAGTCGTCGTGCATTGCAATTAATATTGGCATTCACCATCGCATCCGCTGCATAAAACATTTACGATGAAGTTCGTAAAATCGGACTTAGTTGGAATGTTTTAGATTGTATGAAAATACAGTGTCCAACCAATCCGTGGATGATTGGTTGTCTTATGTGATGAATGGGTTGACATTTGTGCACGCTTATTTTATTACGTAGTATGCAGCATATATTTGAACAAAATTAGTTCAGAGTATAAGCAACCTTGTAGATTTTGTTTTTTTTGTGTGTGAATTGTATGTTAATCCTTGCGTGCTTCTGTGGACCTGGATAAATGTGAACATCAGTCATATCATGTGTAGTTGTTCATTTTTTAAATTTTCATTCAATGCATGCATATGTCGTGGTAATTCGCCTGCTATGCAGACTATTTCCGACTAGGGATGTATCACAGTTCCAAGTCATATTTGTCTTGTTGTATCGTGAAGTGTGAATCGATGTATGCATTCCTCCCCCTCCTACTACCCTTACTTATTAGTACTCACTGATACATATTTTCAGAAACCTGTACGAAGCTATACGAAGCAGTATTTTCAGAACGAAATGGCTACTTGGTTTCCCGATTCTACCGTCGGTGAAAAGCGAACTCTAATCCACAATCTCCTAATGAGGCTACGCGAAAGTGTCGTGAATGAGACAGCAATGCGGCAATGACAATAGTTTTCTGCTTCAAAGATCATCCGGTCTCTTTGTATATATGTATATATGATATACGTGTACTATTTTACTTCTGGTGTTGTTTCAATGTCGTAGATTTGAAACATTATCTATGCCACCCAGCCATAGGTAACAAATAACCCAATATCAGATATTTTTTACTAATGAAGTGTGAAAACTCGTGCACATTCTTTTTGTTTTTATATTTTCATTATTGCAAGAAAAATTCCTGAATGCACCACTTGACTTTTATACTTTTGATTTTTCTTAATTAAAATGTAAATATCAGATTAAAGATTCCTTTCTGTAGGTTACACGTGTGTTGAAATTATACAGTTTCAATTGTCTCCGTGTGAGATCTCCCACTGAAAAAAGAAGGCGAACACCTACTCATCTATGCGTAGGCCAGCCTGTTGAATTTAGACTTGTTTGATATATCCCCTGCATGTGTGCATGTACAGCCAACAGAAGTCACAACAATCTGATCACGAACAAAAGAATACGTTGTTGTCTGTCTTTTTATTTTGCCTCCATGTGTGTGGCAGTTCAAGTCGCCTAACCCCTATGTCAGCTAACATTGCCTGTCAGCCGAGGAAGGCGATGACTAGGCGTGCATGCGTAACACATGTCCTCACCATCTCAGTCGATGTAACTGCTTCACAGCCTCGTCTATTGATTTCTCCTCCCACCTACCTAGCACTCGACCGATACCTAACCTCAATATTGCTCACCTTATTATACCACCAACCAACACGGGAGATAGAGCGCAGGCACCTATGATCGAAGACAGCTAATCTTTCCATGTCTTCCACTCTCGGTGGCCAGGTCTCAGTCATAAAGGAGGATGGAGCGGACTTCTGAGCAGTACACCCACCCTTTGGTCGATAGCCAGCCGGATATGACGTCTACTAGGCCATGGACAGCATAAACGGGCATATGCGAAACTAGCCCTCTGTATCCGTACTCAGCTGAGATTTCGTCATAGATCAACCCGTTGGCGTTGGCTGATGGTACTTCCCAAATAAGTGAAGCGGTCAACCCGCTCCACCAACCACTTCACTCCTTGTTTCCAAACTAGGAGTCAGTCCTGTAAGATCATTTTACATTTGGCGGGTGCGAACCCCATGCCAAATATTCGTAAATTGAATCTCATGGTGTTCAGAAGACTCTGCTGTATTTTGTCAGCGTCCTCGCCTAGAAGGACTATGTCATCTGCATATTCTAAGTCGACATTATTCCCTGGTGGTAGCAAGTCAATTCCTGAGTCTCTGAAATGAATAAGGGTGAAATCTATTAGTACGTCTGTGATGAAATTGAATAGAAATACGGATAATTGGCATCCCTGACGGACACCACTAGTCGTCACCAGTTCAGATGACAACTCGCCGTAAGCCCTCACCTGGCGGTATGAGTACGAGTAGAGTGCCTTGTCTGTCTGTCTGTTTTCGACATAGAACTTTGCACAAATGTGCGGAAGTTCAAGTCGCCACATTCCGTGTAGCACGCGAAGCAAAAGAAGAAAGTACAAGAAAAGCATAATAGAAACAGTGAGCAGAGGTGTGAGACAAAGGAGTAATAAAGAAAAACAAAAAAGTTTCATTGGAAATCATAAGTCACAAGGAGTGGATGCATCTGCGCTAGCCACTGAGAACGGTTTTGAGCCATGTCACCAATTGTTTCCAACCATTGGTTTTTACTGCCCCGAGGACCCCAACCAGTCAGGAAGTCTACACCCTCCTACGTGGCTTAGACCAACTGTTGTGGATTTCATTGACTGGTGCCATGTTTTTGTTTGACCGCCGCTAGCTTTTTTCCAGCCTGACCCTATATCCGCTAATATTGCTCGTCGAGGGAGGCGATGGCTTGGCATACGTAACACATGTCCTAACCATCTCAGTCTTTGTAACTTCACGACTTCGTCTATTGATTTCCCCTGTTTACCTAGAACTCGACGGAGGCCTAACCTCAATGTTGCTCACCTTATTATACCACCAACCAACACGAGAGATAGAGCGCAGGCACCTATGATCGAAGACAACTAATCTTTTCATGTTTTCCACTCTCTGTGGCCAGGTCTCACAGCTGGCCATAAAGGAAGACGGAGTGGACTGATGAGCAGTACACCCGCCCTTTGGTCGATAGTCGAACATCTCGTCTACGCCAGAGTCGGCGTAAACTAACAAATGCGAAACGAGCCCCCTGTATCCGTACTCAGCTGAGATTTCATCAGAGATCAAGCCGTTGGCGTTGGCTGATGGTACTTCCCAAATAAGTGAAGCGGTCAACGTGCTCTACCACTTCACTTCCTATTTTTAAACTAGGCGTCGATGTAGTCCAGTCCTGTGACATCATCTTGCATTTGGCGGGAGCGAATCGCATGCCAAACATTCGTAGATTGCGGCTCAAAGTGTTCAGAAGACTCTGCATTTCGTCAGCGTCTTCGCCTAGAAGGACTATATCGTCTGCATATTCCAAGTCAACGAGATTATTCCCTGGTAGCAAGTCAATCCCTGAGTCGCTGAATTTGCTCGGGATTAAGTTCATTAGTGCATCTATGATGAAGTTGAATAGAAAAGGGGATAATGGGCATCCTTGACGGACACCACTAGTCGTCATCAGTTCAGATGACAGCTCGCCGTAAGCCCTCACCTGGCTGTATGAGTACGAGTAGAGTGCCTTAATCAGTGCAATATATTTTCTTGGAATTCCCTTTACAGCCAAGCATCTCCAGAGAACTTCCCGATCGACAGAGTCAAATGCTGCCTTTAGGTCAAGAAATATAATTACTGTTGGACGCCGATAGGAATGCCTATGTTCTAGAATCTGTCGGAGGGTGAAGATATGAGCAATACACCCTCTTCCTGGTCTAAAGTCTGCCTGGCTCTCTCGTGTTTGTGCTTCCCGAGCACCACTCAGTCTACGCATGATTATTGAGCGTAGGACTTTAGATACTATATTAGTCAAGCTAATCCCTCTGTGATTATCACAGGAAGACTTGTCTCCCTTCTTGTATATGGGGATAATCAGTGACTTACACCAACCTGATGGGACTTCTTCTGATTCCCAGACGCTGCCTAGTACCTCAGTTAATCCGGAAGATTTGTCTTGTACATGGGGATAATCAGTGACCTAAACCAACCCCAAGAAACTGCCTAGTATCTCAGTTAACGCGGAGAGTAAACTGTCTCCACCGTACTTAAATACCTCTGGCGTCATTCCATCAGGTCCCGCTGCTTTGCCTTGTTTCAGACTAGTGACAGCTTAAGTAATCTCAGTTAGGGACGGACGACCTGTGTCTATATCCCATTCAGGAAGGTGTTGTTGGATGTTCGGCAGGTCGATCGTGGCTGTAGGTCAATTAAACTGCTCCTCGTAGTGTTCTTTCCAGTCGTCTATCGTGGGAGCTAATTATGGTGCCATTTTTCTTAGAGATTGTTTCACTTATCACTTGGCTTTTGCCCCCTGCTTCCTTGATAAATTTAAATATTTGTCTAGTGTTACCAATCGGCGGTGCCTTTTCCATCTCTTTCGCTCTTGTCGCCCACCACTGTTTAAGTCGTTGCGAAGACTTCTTGTTAGTTTTCGTTTGAGTAGCTTTCGCTCCTCACCATAATTGGAGCCCGCCGGAATCGGCCTTCTTGCATCACTCAGTTCGGATGAGGCGGTAGAGATCCAATGGCTCTTACTAACTTTTAGTTTTAACTTGTTAACAGTTTTTACTGCTGTGTCTACAACTAACTGTATGTTGTGCCAGCCAGACTACCTCAGGGGAAGTCTTACTGTCGACTTCAGACACTCGTTTCGCTATTTCTTCTTTAAATAAGGGCTCAGTGTCTTGATCTAGTTGGGGACGTAACTGTTTCGCTGCCATCAATTTCTTGTGTCTGTTTAGTCGTAAGCATAAACGTGCGCAAACCAGAGCGTGATCAGAGTCTACGCACGTGTTCCAGAGGGAGCGACAGTCTTCTACTGACTCTCGCCAAGGATACCCTATGGCTATGTGGTCTATCTGAGTCCAGCGTTGATTTGGTGATGGAGGTCTCCAGGTTACACAGGGTCTCTCTTTGTGCCCAAAGTTAGTGGTGACTGGGAACAGATGATTATCTGAGCAGAACTGTGGAAGACGATTACCGTTGTCGGTTCGTCAGCAGGTAACTCCATACACACCACCTACATACTTCTCAGTCTGGCACAACTTCCCTACTTGGTCATTGAAGTCGCCTGCTAAAACAACTATGTTCGAACGTTTTCTTTTTGCAAAAGATTAGACAGTTTCAGGTAGAAATGATCCTTTTGTTCATCTGAACTGCGGTCTGTTGGGGCGTAAGCGGAGACTGTGGGAAGGCGACGACAGGTGACGCCGTCTTTTCTTCTAATGGATCTTTTCAGACAGATCGCACGCATACGACTATCTACAGGGATCCAGTCAAGAAGTGATTTTTCCGCCGTAACACTGTGTGCTATCCGTACACCTGCGAGACCTCTCGAGCTAGCTGAGGAGTCTTCTGACACCCTTAAAGAGAATTTTGCAGATTCACCTTGTTGACCGGGTGAGGTTAAGTGAATGACCACATTCGGGTCTAGTATGCGTGTCTCCGAAACATAACATAGCCATAGCACGAGATGGCAGCGTTCTTGCTGCTGATGCCTTTGGAAGCATGTGGGCGGTTGTTAATTCCCGACTGCCCACACCGTGGAAGTTGGTTGATTCTTCGGGCACCTGAAACAGAGAGAGAGAGACGGTTAGTGTTGTGTGACCGCTAAGTCCAGGAGACAACTGCCTGAGCCAGGCTGGTCACACACGGCCTGTATGGAGTGGTTTCTTGGTTTGGTTCCGTATTAGTGGAGTTACCGCCGGTTACGGACCACCGTAGGGTGAGTCGGGATGTGCAATTTTTTGGGTCGACGTTTTTCTCTCCAAAGTGAAGAGACAGCATAGCTGACTGGCATTCTGGTCATTTGAGGGAAACACCTTACTGCTGTTACATACCCGTCCCCTAGCAGTACGACTTCGCCCTCAGACCCCTAGGATCGTGTAAGAGAGATCCTTACGCAATGCCGTAACTGCTTTTAGTGTAATCGCTATCCCAACAACCTTCCTGGGATGGTAGGACCTGCAGAAACATTGATTCCAGCCAGTGTAGCTTGTTGGGTCATCGCGAATTGTAAGCCCGACCACCACGTCAAGGTAGTAGCTATTGGTCGGGGAATACGTTGTTGATGACATTTATACATCTACATTACCATCTGTTTCTTGACCATGATTATGTTTGTCCTCTTCAGC